GCAAGAGTTTAATTCACTTCATGTGAATGTAATATCTGATCTCCTGTGCATGATCCAAGCTCGACAATAGCAGTCTACTATACTAGGAAGCTGGGATTCCTGTGTCTCCACTGGTTTATAGTATGAGATTCTAATTCTTGTGATTCAGGAGCTGTCTGTCATACTTTGAAACGGTCGCCAGTCCCTCAGACCAGGCCAAAAGCCAGGCCTGCACTGGCCACTGATCACACACCAACAGGGATTCCTTGATATCCCAAGTATCCCAGACTCTGCACATCTTCCAGTGAAGTCAGCGGGAATCGTGCATATCTCCGAGGGAAGTATTTGGCTCCTGAAGACCTTAAGCAACATAAACCAAAGCCACAGAGTTCAGATATGAAGCTCAACTGATTTGCAGCTCAAGTTCATCTCTAATTTAAAGCGATTGGCAGCTCCCTCACCATCTCTGTGCTCCAGGAGGTCTCTGGCAGTGTCATTTTCTATGAGTGTCTCAGCGATCAGATTCAACATTAACATGCAATAAAATGATCATATAAAACAGAACATGTTTAATTTTTAAATGTTCTAAAGAGAGTTTTTTTAAAAATATTTTTTTCTCCAGAGTCTTTTTAGGCCTTAAACTTTCATCTGCTCTTTATTCTTGCTGTGCACTAAACTGGACCACCACCAAAGGGCAAACTCTCGGGAGGCATCCACACTGGGGTGGAGAACTGAGGGGTGCCTGGAGCCTTCTGTGTGTGCAAGAAGAGAATGGCTCCCCAGAGCCAAGAGGGAAATATGTTCTACAGCTCTTCATTACTGCTCCAAGAAGTGCCTGCTGATGAGGCAGGTGCAGGAAGGCTGGAGGCCCAGTCACACTGCTGGGCTGGCTGGGCATACCCCCAGGGACCATCCTGTTCATTAGTCATCTCCTCACCTAGTACTCTAGACTCAGAATGCTAGTCCCTCATCTTGCCCTGCTCTTGCCCAGATGGGGATAGAGAGGGAGGTTTCACCTGGGCCCTCTTCTGCCCCACCCCCGCTACTCCCCAGAGAATCAGTGAGAAACAGGCCAGATCTTTGTCCCAAGCAAGTATACTGAGGGCAAAATACATAGGACACGCTACACATGTTCTTCTCCACTGCCCTCAGCCCTTTCTCACTATATGTGAGTCCTCAGGAGCAGATCACAGGTCAAGCTCCCTTGATACTCTCTGCGTAGCCCGTCCATTAGCAGGCCCGCACCTGGGAGCTGATGCCTCCTCACTTAAAGGAGAAAGGAATATTTATCTGGCTACTCCATGAATGTAAAGAGGGAGAAAATCTGTATTAGGATGTCCCAGAAATGGTGCAGATTGAAGAAACTTTGTGGATATGAAAGAGGGTATTCAACCTTTCAGGGACGTGGGGGACATTTGGAGAGCATTTAGGAAGGTATAATTGCCACTGCTGACATTACAGCCGTGGAGTTTCAAACGCAATCCCTGGGGTGAGGATTACTGGCTAACATAAAAGCCATGGAATTGGGAGTAACCTAGAATTTTGGTCAGAATAAATCTGGCTCCACATCAGGAGCCAGAAAGCAGCTTTTCTGGCTGGAATGAGGTCACGAGTGGAGAGCCACAAGGGCGGTCTTAGGGATCTTGTTTCCAAACAACAGAGAAATGATTTGCATTGTAATGGACCCCTGAGGATCTGCCTGTTCTCCTTCCTCCACTTTTTTGCCCCTTCCTATCTTTGACAGCCATTGTACTACAGGTCCGGTCTACCCTTACATTTAAGGTCAACATAGCTACAATGTGCAGAGATATGAAAAATCCACACCGCTGAGCACCACAGCTATGTCAACCTAACCCGTGAAGTACACACAGCTAGCTGGATGGCAGAACACTTCCGTTGACCTAGCTACCATCGCTCAGGAAGGTGGCATTCCTACAGCAATGAAGTGTTGAGTAGGAAGTTTGGATGTTCCAGCGTGAAATGTCTTGCAAAGATCCCCCTCTAGATTCATGACCAACAAATGAAGAGACCACTCTCCGCATATGACCATCCTAATTTTTCTACACATCACCCGGAGCATGCTGGGATGGGACTATGGGGAGGGTTAGTCAGTGCTGGATAGATGCCCAAGTAGTGCAGACCTGCTCAATGGAACTCATTACTACTCTGCCACCGAGCCTAAGGGCCTGATCCAAAGCCCACGACAGACAACAGGAGACATACCATTGATGTCAATGGCCTTTGGGTCACTCTGTTCGTGCGTCTCTATTATTGCTCCAGTCCAGCAGGGGGAAAATCAGCTCAAATACAAATCCAAGGGCTGTCCGCTCATGTAAGTCTAAGTAGAAGATGTTCAGCACCTTAGAGGAATGGGCTGTGAATTGATTCTCTCACAGGTTCCCTATGTAAAAGCTTAAAAAAACCCGGCTGATTTCTCAGCAAACACCTATTTCCTATACTTCATTTACAACCTTAGTGCGGTGGCCCACAAGATCATGGGCATAAATACATCAAGGGTAGACATTTTAATGGACTTTCCTTGAAAATTTCAATAGACTTGCAACAGACAATCAGCTAAGTCAGCTGGGTTGGATATTTGATACAATCGCCACATCAAATGGAGTCATTGATCTTTAGAATTTTTTCAAGTCATTCCCAAAACATTCCATAGAATTCTTCTGTGTATTACGGAGTTCCACCTAATCCCTCTAGCTGTATAGTTCAGTCTGTCTATTTATGCATTTTGAATACACCCATGCCAGTAGTATCTGGGCACCTCTAAGTAGAATGAAATATTTCCTAGAGATCTATTTCATTATGGCAGTAATGAAATGGTATTTTCAGAAACTCTGTGGGAGACAGGATTTGCCACAACGAAGCAGACTATTGATCAACCAAGTCTGGCATCTACTGGCCAATGCCTGATTCTTTAGAGGCAGGTACACTTTCTGCTTCTCTGCAACCCACAGATTATGCCCTTGGGCAGGACTGTATATGGAAGAAATTTTATTCCTTCCTACTCCCAGGAAGTGATCAGTTTGTACCTTAGAGCGAGACATTTGGGCACCATAGAAGCTAAATATAGCATCTCCAAACATAGGGTGAAATTCACTCCTGTGCAGAAGGCCAACACAAGATCTAGGCACTTATTGTCATTGTGCTAAGCAGGGTACAGACACATTGTCAGAGACAGTCCTTTTCCCAGAGAGCTTACAGGTTAAACAGACGAGACAGTCAAAGGGTAGCAGCGGAAACTGAGTATGGAAAGGTGAGATAACTTACCCAAGGTTACACATCAGGGCAGAGCCAGGAACCTTCAAGTTCTCCAATCTATTGCTCTATTCTCAAACCACTCTTAAATCCTACTTAAACTCTCCTGTTTGTATGACTAGGTGAGAAGGGAGCCCAATCTCGTTTGGGTCCTGTGTGGCCCTGTAATAGAAATAATAATTATTATACTTCTTTCTAATTTTGCATGTAAACATCAGTCTCAAAGCTTACCAAGATTCCTTCCTGACTCAGTTTTACAATATAAAGTGTCTTTGTTTAGTCAACAGAAGCACTAATACAAGTGATTTTGTTGTTAATAGAGCTGTAAGAATTTTAAGTACCGCTTGGTACTTCCCTCTTGGAAGTGCGTCATTTTCAGTTGGCTTTTCTAGACATCACAGGGTGTTGTACTTGTTTTTGTAAACGACTAGTGAATAAAACATTTTGATCCCAGCCACGTTTTGTACAAGCATCACATAGGTTTGTAAAGTTTCAGAGGGAATAAATCAATTGTAAAATGTTGCATGACAGTTGACTTAGTTACTCGTGAATATCTAATTTAGAAAAAACCCCTCCTTTCTGAATATTCATATGAAATTCAAATCTTATGCATATCATCAAGTGGCTTTGCACAATCCATAGCAGATAGAACTGTTTACTAGGAACGGGGAAGAACATGCATTTCACAGCTGTGTCTTATTTTATTTTTCCAATTGGCTTTTTCCTCCTTCCCCTTTTTTAAAAAAAATTAAGCCAGCTCCTCAACTAGTGCAAACAGATACTGCTCCATTCAAGACAACGGAGCATTCCTGATGTACAAAAGCTGAAGAACGGGCCCTGTATTTATTGGGCAACTTGCCTATATTCAGGAGTAACACCACAGAGATCGTGTTAGATTGGTGTGAAACCAGTGTAAGCAAGAGGGGACTCAGACACAACTGTACACTGAAAAACTACAGCCGGGTGATAAGTCCTATAGGAAAACCTACTGACACAGGACCTTATGCTGCTCTCGTTAGTAGCAATATAAAGCAGGAGTAACTTGACTGAAATCAATGGGGTTACAACAGTGTAAGTCTGGTAGAGTGGTACAATCTTGCAAAGTCCTGAGAGCCCTCCTCAGCCACTGAAATCAAATGGGAGTTAAAGGCCTCCCAAGCGCTCAGGATCTTGCAGGATCAGGTCCTAAGCGAGACAAGAATCTTGCCCCAAAAGGGTCTAATTCTACAAAGTGCTGAGCAACCTCATCCCCCATGGACTTCCATGACTCCCCGTTAGCGCTTGGCAGGTGTTCAGCACTTTGCAGGATCAGCCCCTTACTGTAATAACTAAGGAACTATGACCGTAGCTGGATTGCATTTTTTCCCCTATGCAAAAATGCTGTACATTCCTTTACGTAGGTTTCCATAGAGTTGAACTGTTACTTCTTTTTTTTTTTTTTTTTGTTAAAGAGGTCAGCAAAGCTCTGTACAATGGGATTTCACTTTCATGAAATGTGGAGGAATTCAGAGAAACTTTTAATGACTAGATGGTGGGGTTGGAGTGCAGTATAAAAAAAGCATACTGGAAATCCTAGTGCTGCAGAGACGAAAGAAGCCTAGGAGTCCAGGGGCAATTTGCAAAGACATATTGCTTTGCAGATCCTAAGTTTAAATATGTTATTTTCCCCCCGCTTCCTTTGTTAAAATGTGATATCCTAGCTTTAATTGCTTCAATCCTATTAGTTGTTCTTTTAAACACGTGATTGTGTATTCCTTTGGTGTACAGAAATCCCTCTGATTGTGGCTTCATATTATTTAGACAAGCACTCTTTCAGTAGTAAATGCCATTCCTAGCGTAGGGAAGTACTTTAGGTCTAAAGGGGTTAAGAAGGCCTCCTTGCATTCAGAAACATGCAGGGGTCCCACCGTGCCAGTTCCAGCCTTTTAAACTCTTTCCAGCTTTTTTTTCTTGCAACAAATCTGCCTGACTGCCACCAGGACATAGGAAACGTGTGCCTGTCAAAGAAATCAAGTTTACCTTTTCCGACTTGTTAAACGGAGGCAGGGTATAAATATCGCTAACTCTGTACGGACTATTAGCATTTCTCTTAAAATAAGGGGGTTACTTCCTAAGACCTTTAATCCAGTGCGGTCTAGACCAGACTGCACTACCAACAAAGACAGGAAGGAAACCTGCAGAAGTTTGATAGAGGGCAGGTGGATTTGGACTTCTTTGAAAATATAAGGCACACACAAAAAAACCCAAACCCAACCGAATTGTTGACGTTTCTTGGAGAAGTTCTGAGATGTTGTTGGTATTATTCACTCGGTGGATGTGGATCTTGCTGGGGAAGACCACTGTCCTGTTGCTTCTGGAGGTCCCTCTAGAGGGTAACGCTTTACCTCCAATACGGTATTCTCACGCTGGGATATGTCCAAATGAGATGAACCCCAACCTGTGGGTAGATGCACAGAGCACCTGCAAGAGAGAGTGTGATACAGACCTGGTGAGTGATGCACATTTTTATATGCTTCATCATGGGAAATGGATTTTTTGTCAGTTGGTTTGTTAGTTTGTTTACTGTTGCAGTCTATTTCAATTATAAATGGAAGAGCATTGATAATGTGTACATGATCCAATCCAGACAACTCATGTGTTTAACTGAAACTGTGTTTATAAAAATGTTTGATGACCAGTTGGCTAAGTCAAGAGATATTTTAATGGAGTCACTTCTTTAACTGACCATATGACTTTGTGACAACATGGCTTCCATAGTTCATCCTTCTCACTCACTGCCTCACCAAAGAGAACCTCAACAGCTTAAACTCGGGAATTTGACATGTTATTTGGCCAGCTCACTGCATTTTAGCATTTTCACCAACCTCATCATTCTTTGTTGCCATCATCAAGTGTTATGTTTCCCAAGAGGGAGTTCTGTATAATGCCTGTGGGTTGGCATACACATCACCAGCCTTTGCTACACCTGAAATGTAAAGTCTGACTGTAGTCCAAAAATAACATGGTAAAAATAACCATGCAGATGCTCTCTCATATGATGCCTCCAGATCAAAATTCACATAGCTTACAAGTCAAAAGGTCATTTTTAAAACTGCCCGCATAGCCACTCGATGGCATCTGAAAATCCACACTTGCTCTTTCTGTTTCTTTCAACATCCCCAGAAGGAAAGATTTTGCAGTCAGAACCAAGCTGACAGTTTGATGCAGGAAAAGATTCAGCTCACTTTCCACTAACTGGATATTTCTGCTGTGCTTATGTTTGGCAGTCAATGAAGCAGATATTGTTTAAAGACAAAAAAGGAGCTAATATATTAAGATGCTATTTTTATATCACTTTTCTGATTACAATGGCATATTAAGTTGCCTTTTAAATTCAACCATCAGGTGCACTAAAGAACGATTACTACTCTCTTTCGAAGGTTGTGGGCATTCCTTTCGTAGTTTCCTGGTCAAAAAATGAAAATCCAGAAGCCACTTGAAAAAAAAAAATTCTGGTTCGCAGCGTGGCAGCACAGAGTCTGATTCAGATTCTAAGCCTTTGTGCCAGATCCTCAGCAGGTGTAAATCGGCATAACTTTCAGGACTTCATTAGAGCTACACCAACATTATGTTTAGTCCATTATGTTTTGCAGATTTGCATTTGGACCATAGTGCTGCATAGTTAGAAATGGGTAAGGAGCTACAATAGTAGATCCTCTAGTTCCCGTTAATGAAAGGATATTGCCATGAATAATGGCATATCACTGTTTAGTTTGATGGCATTAAAAGACAGCATGACTAAATTTTGCCATCAGTTACAGAGATCCCCTACTGACTTCAATGAGATCAAAATCGTGTAACTAAGGGTAGAATTTGTCCTATTCTGTATAGGGTAACAATGTTCATGTTTCATTAAAATAATCCATGAACAACGTATTGTCTACAGTTCTACAAACCACACAACAAATACATTTTCTGTTTAGAAAGGCAAACAATGAATATAATTAACCACAATTTAGAAATGACCATAACCAACACTGGATATAACATTATGTTTAACACGGATGCTGCATTTAAAAGTAAGACTGGCACAGACGTATAAGTGATGGCAAGCCCATAAGTGGATACTTTGTTTTCCATGGAAAACAAAATAATTTTGGAGCAAGAACTTAGTTTTGCCTTAGTTCTGAGCTATTCCATTTATAATATGTTGTGAACAATTAAAGATGCTTGGTAGTTTCCACTCAAAGAGTATGCTGCTAGTCTCAGGGAATTCAAATAATACTCTACATACTTCTGAGGACAATAAAAGGGATTAAGGACTATAACCATATGATAAGACTTTCCATCTGCTCTTACTTCAGGAGGCTTGTCCTTTGGTACTAAAAGAGGGTTTGTTTGGGTGGGGATTGCTGTTAGTTCTGTAACCAAATGTTCGATATGATTTTGTGAAGGATTTACTATGGCTTTAGATGCTAAGAAATAATGATACATTGCCCTTCTCACACCTTCCATTCAAAGATCTCAAAACACTTGACAAACCCAATTAATGTAGCCTCACAGCACCCCCGCTGAGATAGGGAAGTGATGATGTTCCCATATTCCTGATGGGCAAGCGGAGATTCAAAGAAATGAAATGACTTACCTTAGGTCATACAAGATGTCCTCAGCAGAACTGGAAATAAAACCCAGGTCCCCTGGAGCCTAGCCCTTTGATTTAACCGCAAAAGCACCCTGCCACCATAAGAAGGAATTTCTCCATCTGTTTGTAGTTCTTAAATGATAAACCATCCCAATAACAGTTTGGTTGTTTTGTTTTGTCTTAGGAATGTGAGACCTTTGAGAAGTGCTGTCCTAATGTCTGTGGGACAAAGAGTTGCGTGGCAGCTCGGTACATGGACATCAAGGGAAAGAAAGGACCCATCGGGATGCCTAAAGAGGCAACTTGTGACCGTTTCATGTGTATCCAGCAAGGCTCAGAGTGTGATATCTGGGATGGACAGCCTGTTTGCAAATGCAAAGATAGGTGTGAAAAAGAGCCCAGCTTTACCTGTGCCTCCGATGGACTCACCTATTACAACAAGTGTTATATGGATGCAGAAGCTTGCACCAAAGGCATTACTCTAAATGTAGTCACTTGTCGGTACCATCTCACCTGGCCAAATACCAGCCCTATCCCACCAGAGACTACAGTGCGCCCTACCACAGCTTATTCAGAGACAACCATCGTTGATATCCTGCCACCCGCTCTAGTTAACAATCCAGTCCATCAGTCAGTCTATGTGGGAGAGACTGTTAGCTTTCTTTGTGATGTCACAGGCAGACCCAAACCAGAAATTACTTGGGAGAAGCAAATAGACGGTAAGGAAAAAATCATTATGAGGCCGAATCACGTCAGGGGGAATGTCGTGGTTACCAACATTGCCCAGCTGGTTATCTATAACACCCAGCTGCAAGATGCAGGCATTTACACATGCACTGCAAAAAACATCGGCGGTCTTCTCAGGGTTGATTTCCCATTGTCAGTTGTCAAAGGAGAACCTGCATCAAAAGAAGCATCCCAAAACAAAACCCATTTCCCAACCGATGAGTGTCTGAAGCAGCCAGACAGCGAAGACTGTGGGGAAGAGCAGACGAGGTGGTATTATGATGCAAAGAAAAACAACTGCTTTACATTCATTTATGGGAACTGTAATAGCAACCTGAACCACTTTGAGACCTATGAGAACTGTATGTTAACATGTATGAATGGCCCAATCAACATCTGCAACCTGCCAGCCCTTCAGGGTCATTGCAAAGCCTATGAGCCCAGATGGGCGTACAACAGTTTGACAAAGCAATGCCAATCTTTCATTTATGGTGGCTGCGGAGGCAATGAGAATAACTTTGAGAGCAAAGAGGCCTGCGAAGAGATGTGCCCTTTCCCTAAAAACACTCACTGCAAAGCCTGCAAGCCTCGCCAAAAGCTGGTGACGAGCTTCTGCAAAAGCGACTTTGTTATCCTGGGCCGTATAACGGAACTAACCGAAGACCAAGACTCGGGACACGCGTTGGTGACAGTGGAGGAGATTCTAAAAGATGAAAAAATGGGATTAAAATTCCTGGGGAAGGAACCTCTAGAAATCACCCTTTTAAATATGGACTGGAGCTGTCCATGCCCCAATATGACCACGGTGGATGGTCAGCTTATCATCATGGGTGATGTCCACAATGGGATGGCCGTCCTGCAGCCAGACAGCTTTGTGGGCATCTCCAGTGTCCGGCGTGTACGGAAGCTCCGTGAAGTCATCCACAAGAAAACCTGTGAGCTTCTGAAAGAATTTTTAGGACTACACTAACCTTACTCACGTGTGTCAGCCTTTCAGCTCTGTGTATTGTATAAGGCTAACAAAAGCAAGGCTAGTGTGGAAACTAAAGACAAGCTACTGTCTAAAGATACAATGTATGTAATATGCAGAACCCTTATTTTAATCTATTAATGATGCTTAGAAACAATGTAGTATGCTCTTTGGCAAGCACATAAAATATCAATGGATGGCTATTAATCTTACTTTGAAATCAACCTGTTTGTATAGAATTGCCATTTAGCTAGCTGATTTATGCAATAATTATATAATTCTTGTGTAGTTTCCAACATAAATGACCAAATTCGTAGCATTTTTGTAGCTAATTGATACATAGCTAAATTGCACATACTGTCGATTTAATCTGTTTCACTTACAGCATGGAAATGTTATGGTAAATCATTAAAAATAAGTCACAAACTTCTGTTTCCTCATGGTAACACTAACTACATTACAAGAGAAGAAACTGTAAATTATTGTCTATATTAACTATAATTATACATGTCAAGCCAACCTATGCATTATGAATTTGCTCACCTTTTCATGGAAATCCACATAGCAATTTTCTCTAGATTGTGCCAATTTTGAATACAAGCCCTGCAGTCCTTACTCACGGGAAAAAAAACATTGAAGTAAACGGGGCAATCATCCTGGGTCTAATAGCCATGAAAACAAATACATGTCCAAAGCCAAAACCACAATTTCACAGTGTTTTGAGTCCAACATCAACACCACTCATTTCAATGCACGTTCCTATTTTTATTTTAAATAAATGTGGTGTAAAGCTAACGTGAAGAGTCTTTGGAAGTGGGATGTCTGCCATCTTGGTTTTGGAAGGCCATTGCATCTGAGCACGTGTGGGGATCTATTGCTTAATTGTTAACATGCCTGATTTTCCAGGTAATAGAGTAGAATTATAGAAGTCAGAATAAAATTAAAGATAGAAAAGTGCCATACTCATTCTAACGATTATGTGACGCACCCAGAGAGAAAAACAGAGCGGCATACACACATTATAGACACATTAATAAACAAACACACACTGGGTGCACTTTAAAAACTTCAATTAATCTGAACTCCCCCCATTCTAAACAGTATTCCCCATTATATATAGGAAATCTCTCTCAAATCAGTTAAAACATTCTAAGTATGGCCACTGTATATATGTGTATGTATAAATACACATACAGCAAGAGAAGGAAATAGGCATGTGTGTATAAACACTATTGATCATTACTAATACTTATGTGTCTAAAAGGTAAAATTTGCCTATGCACAATTTTTAAATAACAAAAAGAGTGATCTCAGAAATACCCTGCCTCTGTTAAGGAATGTCACTGAGCTGAGATTATGAGTGTATATGCTTACGTATGTCATTCTTATCATTATTACTATTCTCTTTGTTCAGTTGTTTAAGTGAGCTCCAACAATAGTGTCTACTGTTGCACAAAAGACCAGTTCAAGCAGGGATCTGGGTTGAGAAATGTTTTAGCTTAAAGGTAAGAGGGTGTTGTTAATATTACTCTGTGGCGCCATCTACTGGCTAATCCAAGAGCCAGCAGGAGGTAGCTAAAGCCTTGCATTCCAGATGGTGAAAGGTGCTGAGACAGTGACACACACACACACACACACACTTGCAGGTGTATGTTGGGTCTGACTATGAATGAGACATGGGGAAGTCTGTGTAAAAAGTTTACCTGGCTAGATGCTGAATTTAAGCACTTCACTGGAGACTCCTAATCCCTAAGGTCCACATATATTGTATGTTTTGCAAGTCGCAACAAAGACTTCAAGGATGAAATTTAATGGACAATAAGAATGTTTTAAATATGGCCTGACGCAACTTTTAAATATAGGGCCTGACTCATTTGCACTAAAGCTCCTTCACGCTACTCTGGCAATATGAAGATGCCTTAAAGTGCATTTCCACCCACCTTACGGCTCCTGAGCAGTGTAAGTGAGAATCAAACCCTTTTGTTTCACCCTGGTCGGGGATACAATTCATCAACATGCAAGTTCTAAGCAAAGCCTGACAGAAGGGTTTCAAAAAACAAAGTCAGTATTAAGGCTCTTCTTAGCTACCAAGTGCTATTGTTCTCTACAGCAGCACATTGTCCAGCACAATAACTGTATGATTTTTATCTCTTTCTTAAATGGATGTAAGAAGAATTACAATAAAAGCATAACACCATTTACATACATTCTTGTGAGGATCGTATTATGGGCTGGGCTATGCCAATGTCTGTCATGCTTTGCATTCCACTGGCGTCCTGCACCTACTGTAGGTAATTCTGCTATGTGTCATTCACCAACGTTACTGCAGCTTGTTTGTCGTTTTCCAGGCAGCCAGGAAATAAGGTCTGGCATATTTCTTCCAGACTGAATCGCCTTTTCTGACATGAAGGGATCTAAGTGTGAATGTTTAATAAAGGCTGGGTTTCTACAGTTATTTTCTCCAAGAGCTTAGAGGAGTTCTCTGCAAATAGGGGAATGATCAAATGACTCTGGAGACATACTCTGAGGGGTGAAAATGTACTGCAATTGTTTCAGCTTTCAGGTAGTAAATTAAAGCCCTGAAATCTGGTGTCAGAACCAATCTCAGGATCACTATTCAGGAAAGCACTTATGCACATACTTAACTATTAGGTATGTGCTTAAGTCCCATTGACTTCAGTGTGACCTATAGTTAAGCATGTGTTTAAGTGCATGTGTGCAAAGCAGGGCCGGTGCAAGGAAGTTTCGCACCCTAGGCGAAACTTCCACCTTGCGCCCCCCCCCAGCCCTGCAGCAGCTCCCCGCCCTGAGGCGCCCCCCCCCCACAGCAGCTCTTCCCCGCCCCCCCGGGAAGCTGTGCAGCAGCTCCCCACCCCAGCTAACCTCTGCTCCACCTCCTCCCCGAGGACGCCGCCCCCGCTATAATTCTCCTCCCCTCCCAGGCTTGTGGCACCAAACAGCTGATTGGCGCTGCAATCCTGGGAGGCGGGAGAAGTGGAGCGGTGACCATGCGCTCAGGGAGGGGGCGTAGGAACGCTGTAAAAAAAATTGGGGGCACCCACTTCTTGGTGACCTAGGCAACCGCCTAGTTTGCCTAAATGGTAGCACCGGCCCTGGTGCAAAGTGAACTCTGATGAATAGGGGTGGACTGATGAATCAGCGTCATAAAAATGATAACACCGATTACCTTATTCCGTGAATAGGTCCATTGAAATCAAATGGAGCAAAAACATGGGTATTAAAAATAACATTCAGCATTTATTCTAATTGTTTCCACCCCTTCCCTCCCCTCCATACAGGCATGTATTATGGGATAATTCAGTTTCTGGTTGCTAAGGGACAGACTGTGTAAGTAAATCTGGCCTGCAGTGTGAGCCGTGTGGAGGTGCACCACTCCAGTGTGAGTGCAGGTGGCTCCGTCCCTATGCCAGCATGTAGAAGTGTGCTGGTGTACCCACCCCTTGGTATGGTATGGCCTCCTCCATCTGGCCTACCCACCAGTCTACAGCTCAGGGTAAAGAGGGGGTGTGGCCCACCTCCTCCTACCGCACTCTGGGGCATACTGCTGCCGAGGGGAGTGCAAAGTTCCTGTGCTCCCGCTGCACAGAGATTGTGATTGATGCTAACCCTTGCACAGGGTCCCCTCGAAACCCTTCCCCTGCTGCATACCAATACAATGGTCAGGACAGGCCGGCTCGAAGGGAGTGGCCAAAATTCTGAATGAGACAGAATTAAAACAAAGTCCGTACAAGGCCCATGTGACAATAAAATGAACACTGAAAGCTGTGGGGTCATGCAGAGAGCAATATCAATTGATTATTTCAAAGTGACAGGAGTTGCTATGATCAAAATACGAGGGAGGCTGCACTGCAGTAGGTTTTGTATAATTCATCTGTGGAGTATTTTTTTTTTAAATTACAAACCTGCTGGCAAGGTGCAGATCTGGATATGCACCAAAGCAAATGGAATACACCCACTTTTTCTTTCAGGATTATGCAGGGCTACCCAGAGGATTCAGGGGGCCTGGGGCAAAGCAATTTCGGGGGCCCCTTCCATAAAAAAAAGTTGCAATACTATAGAATACTATATTCTCGTGGGGGTCTGGGGCAAATTGCCCCACTTGCCCCCCTCCCCGGGCGGCCCTGGGATTATGCCCCTTTTTGACGGTTATTAAAAAAGATAAAAGACTGTCATGTCTCCTGGCTACCCCATCTTTGGGCAAGAAAAGAACATCATTATGACATACTGCGGATCCCAGAAAAGGGGTGCAATCCACTAATAATACTTAGCACTGGAATGAGCCATTGCATCTCATCTGAAGATCTCAACACACTTCCCAAACATTATTAAATGAACTTCACAACACTCCGTAGTATAGAGAAGGGATCCATCAAGATCAGGTCACCTACCAACAAAGTGCTGTCCACTGTGAGGGGCAGTTTGGCATCTGTTTAATGTTTCTATGTGCTATTAGACAACAGTTTAGACCAGGACATGAGGAGTAGTACTGTATCCAGCTAAGGCCTAGTCTACACCACACTGCTTTTATGCTGGTATAACTATGTTGGTTAGAGTGTACCATTTTATTTAAAACTGATAAGCTATACTGGTACAATCCCTAGTATGCACACAGGATTTAGGATTGCCACCTCTGAAGTACAAAAAAATGAGCCCTGAGCCCATAAAACTGGACAGCTGGCTGTTTCTATAGGATTGCCACCTCCAAGATGCAGAAAAACTACCCACTGGCCAACCTTCCACCAACAAAAAACAGCCACTGGCTGCACCCCAATCTTCCCTAAGAAAAAGGGTCCTATTGCTAATTACTACTACAATGTGAGATAACTATTTTACACACACACACACACACACACACACACACACACACACACACACACACACACACACACACACACACACACACACTACTA